ATATTTCATTTAGTGCAACTTTGATGAGTAGACGATCTGAAAATATTAATGATGATTTTATTTCGATTATTGTAGAATTTCCTAGAATTATGGCCGAGTTGAACATCAGACATCTTCAAGACTTAATGCTGCTCAAAACGATATGGTTAGATCAAACGACAAAGCTTTATGAAGGAAATTTTGCAAATTCAACAACTTCGACAACTATCAATAATGATTATGATTATAATAATAATAATAATAATAATAATAATAATGAAAAAGAATCATCATCATCATCATCAGGAAATTTACAATATTCTGAAAATATTGTTAAACCATATTCGGTCTATATACTTGTAACGTTAAAGCAATTAGATTTATCTAGCGATTTAGGTCAAGCAATTGGCAAAGTTGATTTTAATTCTAATAACATCCAAATGAGAACTAAAAATATACCAGGGAAATTAAAAAAATTCATGATATCAACAGATACTCTTGATATCAATTGTGAAGGTCGTCTTGTAGGTACTGTAAATATGAGTGGATTTAGTTTCCTAACACAATTAGGAATACCACCACAATCAATAGATGATGAACCTACCCCAGTTACAAATCTGTTTTTTAGAACTGAACGTCTTCAATCCTTGTTGGAATATGAGTATCAAAAAATACTAATATTAGAAATAGATCCTATACAATTTCAACTAACAGATAATTGGGATATCAAATCTTTTGAAACTGCGAATGTATTGATTCATGCAGATGTAAAGCTACAACAAATTCAAGCTATACTTGCAATAAAAACAGTGCCTATATTTCTTCGTATGGGCAATAGACTTTTAGCATTGGTTGAAGAAAAAAGATTGGCAGCTGCCAACGTAATATCTGATTTGGAACAAACCAAACATCTTAATCCCACAAATAATAATATTACACAAATAACAAGTGTTGCTACTCCAGAGAAATCAATTAATAAAGTAGCAACAAAAAATAAACAACAACACACAAAAAAAATATTTCTACAACTAATATAAAAAAAATAACGGCACTACGACAGAAATATATTTTTTCAATTAATATTAATAAAAAAACGGCAGGTCTCCAGAAATATATTTTTTCAATTCATAAAAA